AACATTTTAAAGCTGGGCTTCCTCGCGATGTTTCCGCTGTTGAACTTCCACTGTTTAACATAACACATAGGCCTTTTAAAAAATTGATTACCATCGCACTCTCACTGGTTAATGCGTTCCTAAATCACTAGTCTGTTGGGTAAATCAAGATGATATTGTATTGATTTATCCTACAGACTAGTGACTTTTTATTCAAATAACCAGTTCAGTTTTTTCTATTATATCGCTAAGATCAAAAAAAAATTATTCATATTTCATCAGTATGAAATTTGTATCTAAATATAATTTCCAAAACACACTATTTCCAAAAAAGAAAATACCGAGCAAAGCTCGGTCATCCAGGTACTGAAGGTAAAAGGAAAACTATCAGAGCCAAGTAGAATCAACACATTAACGAGTAATAGTCGGCCAACTTAAAAATTCACTTGGATGAGTAAAAACTTTATTACAACTTTCTAGAAAATGATTTAAAACTAGCTGCATTATGTCTTTGTAATGTTATTGTAAACTATACGAAATAAATATTTTATGATGGAAACGATTTATATGCATTATTAGTATAGCTTTACTTTTTCTTTTGCGGGATACGCAGGGAGATCCTTTCCTACTTACTTAGTTTAGTTTACGACGGGCTGCTTTCCGCAACTCCACGTCTAAGCGCGTATTTTGCGTGTGGACAGGAATAATGTGATTATTCGAGCCATGAAATCTCCCCGGGGAGCCGGCGTGCCGAGATGTTTAGCCCTATATGCAGCGACTTCCGGACATGTCAGCAGCACGTGAGCCGCTGTTTCTTCCTCCCCCATGCATGCTCTGCACAGGGGGCTATTTGTAACAACTATGGTAAATAAATGTTTGTTAAAGGAGCCATGTCCTTTGATAGCACTTGTTACTATCCTGATCTGTGGCTTGTGCAGTCTCATTAGAACCTTGGTTTGACGAATGTTTATTTCGGACAGGGCATCCCTAGATTGTCTAGTCTACTAGATTTTTCCAAAGCTGAGAGTGTAGATTATTAAAGTTTCTACGTACCAGTGAACGAACGTAGCCAAAGGAGATTGGTATTATTGGTTCCGGCCCTATAGTGGCCAGAGCCGATCCCCTTCTGGCTAATTCTTCTGCTGTATCGTTGCCTCTGGATCCACTGTGTCCTTTAATCCATTGCAGAGTCACATTGTTGTACTTACCTCATTTAATCGTTGATGGCATTTTTATATTAATCACTAGTTCACTACATTACAACTCGGAGCTTGTAGTACCGCCATACTGTCGGTCAGTAATCTGATGGAGAAGTCTTTTACCTTCCTAGCATCTATTGCTATGACCGCTTGGATGATACCCATACATTCCGTCTGAAAGACTGTGTTATGGGTACCCAGTGGTGTACATATATGGATATTGAGGTTATCAAGAGGTCGATGTCATGGTATCTAGGTTTTACAAAATACTTTATTCCATTATTGATGAAACTGTACCCAAAACGAAACCGCTTAATTTAGTGTTTCCTATTTGGTTTACGCCGAACTTAATTAAACTGATAAAAGAAAAAGAAAAGATCCGATTAAGGCACAAAATTTACAAAATCCAAGAGATACACTAAAACTTAAGCTCTTAAATTACCGGGTTAAGTCGTTGGCCTCTAAGAACTATTTAGATTATATACGGGAAACCGAAAAATCCATTCAGTCCAATCCTAAAAAGTTTTGGTCGTTCGTCCGCCATCGTAAATCCTGCGATTAAGGTTTTCCAGAAAGTTTAGGTTTTTCCTATTTACTTACGAATTTCGCTTATATTTTTAGTAGGTAGTTATTGTAGGCCTCATTCAAAGTAATTCATACATGATTGTATGAATACTTTGAACTGTATGAGGCTATATGATTATAGCCTCAAACAGTTTCATTGTTATTGGGGGGTTTGGGGTGTGGTTTACGCGAGGTTCCAAACGGTCATATGTATCTTAGGGTTGCACTGCCGAAAATATATAGATAAATAGTCAACTATGGCCATGTTTATACGGACTTGGCATATGAATGATTTGATTTAGATTGTTTTATGTTGTTGCTTTCAACATCGAAAAGTTTTTTAAATCTTTTTTGAATTCCACTCCCTATAAGTCTGATTGGAAAATAACTCCTTTAGTTGCCATCGTCCTATTTGGGTGCATTTTTAGTCGTAATATTGATCAAACCGCAAACTCAATATGCTCATTATCAAGAAAGCCACTTCTAAGTTCACGCATTGTGACATACTACGGAACCCTACCTCAACATTGTGCGTGGCCCGACACGCACTTGGCGAGTTTTTTTTGAAAATACGAGTAACTAATTTGAAGTTATCCCAAATTGAATATGATTTATGGGCATTATATTATATGGTCTGTGTGCGTTTTAATTCACTACGTGTTTGCCGACCGATTGACTCTACGAATGTGTGCGTGCGTAGTAAAATAGTAGGCGTTAGATATTTATGAATAACAATTAGTTAAAATAATGCATTTACCACGCATTTTGAACTTTAAAAGATAAAAAGGACAAATTATTTGAATTTAATTTTTTTGATTAATTTTTCTTCACCATTCGCCTTCATTACTTACTTATAAGTACATATAATGATGTAAATAAGTAGTAAATAATTTTTCTTTTGAAACATTTGTTATTTTGAACCTTTATTGTTAATTTATAGGTCATATTGGGAGGGCTGATTGAGATACAGGTTTCAGCAATCAGAACTTCATATATTCACTGTATAATTATCAATAAAGCTTATTATTATTATTATTATTATTGAAGTGAAACTTCTTTTCTCTAAACCTTGGCTGCAAATGTGGCCGTATATTGCAGAATAAACCTGTATTAATTTCCTTTTTACTATTTTTACACAGAGCAAAATGGCACTTGGGCATCAGATCTCAAAGCAAGCCCAACGACATTATGCTTGAAGTTTTCCGTGCCATGAAAGCCCTCGACTACGAATGGAAAGTCATTAATCCCTACCACGTAAGGTATGTATTGTGTTCTTTGGACCATTCTCGACCAAATATGATTGTAGTATAAGCCACAAATATAAAAAAATCTGTATTGTTCTCTTTCAAATTCAAAATATTATATTATTCATAATAGAAACTCTGTTCTACATAGAGAAACTAGGAAAAAATTCTAGGGTAATTTTTTCTTCTTCTTTAAAAACTTCATTATGAGAAAGGGTAAATTTTTATAAAAAAATATCTTAGAATACACTTAGAATATTTGCAATTATTTTGAATCTGTTTTACGACGTTTTGCTGAACCGTAGTTTTCTTTATAAAACTAAACTGAAGTAACGAACAAACTTACTGTCCACCCGATGATGGTAAGTGGCTACTAAACAGCCAATGGTCAGCTTCTGTTTTTTACATAGGGAAATGCCTATGCCTACCCGCCTCGCAGGGGCACGCACGAGTAATGTAAGATGCGCACTGGCTAAAACCCCACGGTGTTCCACTTTCGTCTAGGCCACTTCAGATGAGTGTGTCCGAGTGGACTAGGCAAGTCCCCTCGGAACAGCCTTCTTGGGCAGCCAAGTTGAAGTGATTCCTCTTGGTTCACAGTGGGTGACAAGCCACGACTGCTAAGCCCCCTGCCACGACAAGGTTAAACTATTCGGGGTAGTCCATGGCTATGATGCATAGTCACTGGAGGCTACGGTATAATGTCTCACAGCCTGTAATTATACTAGCTGCTGCATTTTGGCAGCAGAAAAGATAAGAGATTACATAGACGTGTTCTTAAGCAAAAAAGAAGTCCTCACACCTATTACCTAGTTAGTAGTACACTTAGCAAAGTTAGAACAGGTTCCACTTTATCCTTTTCAGAGTACGAACATTGAACAAAATGACGGAGAAATACGTTAAAATGTCGCTACAACTGTATCAAGTGGACTACAAATCTTATTTGCTCGACTTCAAGTCCCTCTCCGGTGAGAAGGAGGACTCGGATGAGGAAGTGACGTCACCGATGGTGTCCGCACCTCCACCCAACCCTGCTACCGCACCAACGCAACCACAGGGGCATCATACCATGGAGTTTTTCGAAATGTGCGCCGCTTTAATAATCCAACTAGCTCGATAGTGAAATGTAAATAAAAAAAATATTTATTGAAAACTATATTTTCCTGTTACACGTTTAAATTATTCGACGCCATTATTGTTATCAAAAATAAAGGCGTGTTTTTGTTTGATGTTGTATATTACATATAGTGGTTAGACCGAAGTAGAACTAGTGTTCCACTTAAATGCATCATAGTAGAAAGTTTAGTTTTAATAGTTAATTGATTATCGATCCTCCAACTCACTCTTATATCTCTTCATGGTAATAAATCTGTCGGTTGCACCTAGTTTTAGCCGGCTACAACTCGGTGCAGCCGACCACATGCGGTTAAACTTAGACGTATCCTACTTATCTTCGGTTAGAACTAGGTTTAGCCTCCATCATAGCGGCTATCGGAGGCACACGAAAAGTGTATTTTTTATGTCAACTAGGTTTTCAGTTCAGTTTAGCATTTTGGTTTTGTTTTGAGATTCTTGTCTTGCGATTCTATTATATTGAAAAAATAAAAGACAGGGATGTTGAAGTGACATTTATAATTGTACTTATAAGTAATTAATAATACTCACAATTTAAAACTTCTCTGCAGAAGTAAAAGAACTAGACATCTTACGAGCAAAGATAAAAATGTTAAACATAAAAAAAATTAAGTTTTACTATGAAATAATCAACCAAGTATTTGTACTCCTCTCTCACATTTTTATGTTAAAACAAATAAGATCCCTTTGACTCAGTTTTAATTATTAAAAAAAAAAAAACAATCAACAAACTCTTCATGTGATAGTATGTTGCAAGAATCTATCACTTATTCAAACAAGATAAACTTGAATGATATTTAGAATTACACAAAATACCGGCTGCTTTACAGAGGCACTTTCTATTACCACATTTAGTTTTGCAATGGCATCTTTTGTATCCTTATCCTCCAGTTGTGGATATAGCATTAGCTATTTGGCGTAATGATTTTTTTTCGGGAGAAACAATATCAACGTCTAAAAATTTCGCCTCGCATATAGTGAATTGATTCCTAGAAAATAATTCAGTAATAGTGCCAAACTGGTTACGCAATTTATACAGTGCATCATAATTACATTCAAGTACAACCATTAAAACATTGGGAAAGTCGCCTCTACCTCTATCAACGTCAGGAATTTTCACCCGAACTGTGTCACCTATTTTGCACGGAGAAAACTTTATGTTAGATAATGCTGTCATTTTATTTGCTTGTACTGTCAACGAATCTTTTGCGCCTTTTCTATTAGTATCTATTATCTGTCGTTTAATACAGTCGCAGTCTGTTCTGTTTTTTGCTGCTTCTCCTACAGTTTCTTCCTGATTTACATCTGTTATTGTCTCACTTTCAGCATTATTTCCGTCTCCTTCTAACATCTTAAGAATTTGTTCCAAGTCTTCCTCGTTCTCTATATTTTCGATTGTCTCAGTTGGAAGTGCTGAAGATCTTAGGCCCACTTTTACGTCACAACCGAACATAGCTTGGTAAGGTGGCCTTTTAATTCCGTGATGATAGGCTCTATTTTTCATAAGTTGTACAAATCTAAGCCCTTCTGACCACTTTTCGCAGTTTTCGTCTTTCATCCAAGTCATCAGCATACTTTGAACGTCTTGATTGGCACGTTCGACACTGCCCTGTGACTGGCTGTGACAAGGTTTCCCGTGCACAATTTTCAGACCTGGCCACATTTGCGTCAAACTTTCCACAATTTGATTAGCGAATTCCCTGCCATTGTCAGACTGGAGTATTGAGGGTGATCCAAATATACAAAATATGTCAAGGAGTATCTTTGATACTTCCTCAGCAATTTTACTTTGTAAAGGACGTAGTTGTATGAATTTAGTGAGATGATCCTGATAAACTAAAATAAACTTGAAATTTCCATCAGGACTTGTTTGCATGTCTATCAAGTCTACCTGACAACGACTATTCATCTCATCACACAAAATAGGTTTAACGACGAGACCTTTTCTAAGAGATTTTTGCTTCATTTGACATGGCTTGCATAAGTGAAGGTATAAAATAATAGCCTCTTGAGTTATATTTTCATACCTTTTTTTTTTGCTTCTGCAACCATTCTGTTTCTCCCACCGTGTCCAATAGATATTTATTTCATGAAGAATATCGAACAATTCTTCGTTCTTGACGTAATATTTAAGATTTTTGGAACTACTGGTAGATAAAACACTAATTAACTTTTCCGTGTCCCCAATATTACACACATCAAAACGTTTTAAACGACGATATTGTAATGTTGTACGTTTTGTTGCTATTTTTGCAGCTTTAACCTCTTCTATGAAAGTCAAATACTGTTCACTACTCATGTAACTTTGGTTATCGTCAAGTTTCGAAGTTAAAACACGGTGTAACTCTTTGTTAAAACTTGTTTTCATCGTTTCTAATGCTTCGTTCACCGCCGTTTTGTAACGGACACAAACCTCCTACGTCCTAGCGCAGAACTGAGATTCACACTAACTGAAGGGTAGAGTAGTAGCGGGCGGGGCGGGGGTACAAGCTGCGCGGCGGGCGGCGGACTGCGCGCGAGCAAATCAGCTGCCTCGCCAACCCCTTCCCCGCATCTATACCCCGCTGCCAACTTGACGAGCTCTTTAGTATACCTACTTATTGCAGCGTGCATTTAGTTTTTACCATCATGAAGAGCAGAGGGACTCCGCATTAACAGACATTTTGTTAAGTACACAATTTTATAAAGTATAAAATTTCATTTCAGTACATAATATAATTCAACAAAATTGTAAATCTTGTTTCGGACGAAATCGAATCAATTGGGAAATGCAAGACAAGAATCTCAAAACAAAACCAAAATGCTTAACTGAATTGAAAACCTAGTTGTAGCCGATGATAAATAGGATACACCTAGGTTTAATCACCGGTGTGCGGCTGCACCTAGTTGAAGCAGGCTATAACTATATGTAGCCGCACTTCGGCTCTTAGCCGTAACATATGTATATATGTTATATATATATATATATGCCTATGAGATAGGATAATGGATTTACGTCTGTCATAACTCAGCGGATCTGGAAGCTGTAGTGGCAGTGGCCTCGCCATATTAAGACATAAAGGTGAGATTAGCCTTGTATTCAGAAATAAATTGTTTGCAGGCTGATATGGAGTTTGTATTGATTTTATATCTGGTCATGGTACACTGCAATACAACATCTAGTCGTGAAAGCTGGCTGTATTCAGCTACAGCAGTGTCTCCACGTGCTCTAACAAATTAGTCGACAAAATAGATCTATGTTACTGTAGAGATTGATTGCCGCGACAACTACCTAATTATAGCAAGTAGCGAATTGTACCATTTATTGTAATTTATTTTTAGTAGTATCGTCTGTGGTCATATATCATACACCAATTACGTAGAAACATCAATAAATATTTGTGTGCATTATTCTTTTATTTTGTTATATTTTCCCGTGCTGGGAAGGCCATACAGCCAAGAACATAATTGTAATGTGTTCATTTCATCGGTTGATATGGTTGTTTGTTTAATTTATTTTACCTGCATTACCAACAGGTATTTAATGCACAGTACCTTTCGAATAATATAACTTTCATTCCTCTCCTTTTAGAATAATAGTAAAAAAGTACTTCAATTATAGAGAGACATTGGCTTAGAAAATGTGTATATATGCGTTACGTTATGCAGTTCCATTATGTTCTGCAATATAAAATATTAGATGTATAGGAAAAGAAATGTATAAATAATTTTAAAATATTATTAAGTCAATGTACAAGTGTGAAAAATAACACCAATTTAAATTATTATAATATTTATAGCATATTGATGATTGTTGAAACAATGGCTACTTAATGTTTTTAAATATAATGAAACTTAAAGAAACAGTTATTTGTTACGCTTTGAATGAAATGCACTGGCTGGTGATAATTTAATGATGCAGCAATATTATGTTATATATTATATGTTTTGAGTTTGCACTATTTATGATATAAGACAAGTAATTCTCGATGTATTTTTACATGAACCAGAAAGAATGTTATATATTAACAGCAATGGTGTAGCATGGGTTCGAGCCGTCCGAAGCTATAGCCGAAATTCTACTTATTCTTATGATGAATATACTTCGAATTCCAAACGACTGGCTGACTTTGACAAAGCTCCAAAAACATCATAAATTTCTTGTTTGTCCAATCCATTATGTTTATGTTGCTCAATAGGCCGTTTGCTACTCTCTACTCTTTTTCTCTGACTTGTGTCCAAAACCCGTTCCCGATGTGAGGGTCACGAGTGGCAACGCGAAACAGAAAGCGAATAAATCACCTTTTACATATTCGTGCTCGTGCCTCGACTCGTCGCTCGGCTCGTCACACACGCGAATGTGTAAGTGCAACTTAAGAACATTTTCTGGGTCTTTCTTTAAATCACCTCTTAGGACATCTACTATTTATTATCCTTTCAATGAAATAATTCACAATTGTTTTGTAAAGTTATTTGGGCACAAGGTAATTAATAGAATCAGGCGTTACTTTGCGGAAATCCATTATAATAAAAATATAAATTATCTCGCAACCTTCCGCTAACGACACGTGTTCGTGTCGTATTATCGTCGATGGTGTGTGGTGGGTGATGTTACCTGATAGAATAGTGGTGCTGGGACTAATGGTGACTGAGTTAGTGCATGCAATTGAGGGAGGGCGGGAGGTGCTCTTCAATCCAGGTAAGACACATCATTGTTTTAGTTAGCGGAAGGTTGCGAGGTAATTTATATTTTTATTTTATGGGTACTAGGTAATCATGTTTCTCCGCGTCTAGGGTTCTGCTTACAACAGCACGATGCGGAGTTTTATACCTTTGCCTTCATCTAAACTTCAATGCATTAAACAGGCTATTTCTAAATCTTGTTAGTTATCATGTAAAGTTAGTAGTTATCATGTAAATATATAAAAGTTTTGCTATTTCAAAGAAATTTGATTCCACATGTTATTGTTATCATTAAAGGCATAAGACATTTGAAACACAAAATTAGATTAAGTGCTTTACCATCAACATTTTATTTAAATATTTATAGGCATGTCACGCTATACAAAACTTTATACAAAATCTAGATATTTACAGTATTATTAATCTGTATGTAAAATAATATGCAGTTATTCATTAAAAATATCTTGCGAAGCTTTGTAAATATAAAAGTAACATAAGCGTGTATTCAAGCTTCGTACTTATCAAAGAGAACGACAAATAAGTGCCTTGTTCCGTGCCTCGGAAAGCACGTAAAGCCACTGGTCTTGCGCGTGATCTCTCTCCGGTCGTATCGGATAAGGGTATGAAGAATGCAAGTGTTCGCGCACACACTCGAACATAATCCTGTCCTGCAAAGATGGCTAGTCTCCGTTCAGATTAGCTGTTGTGACCGAATTTCGGTCAGGGGTACATTATTATTATTTATTGTCGACAACAGGTTTTATCTTCTGGCGCTACCGTCGCTGCTTTGCATTGCGTCACTGCGCCGATCGTGTGGCATCCGGGAAAAATGACTAGTTTACGGATGCTTGTGCTGTAGCCAAGTGGCTTTTACAGCTTTATCGGACTCAAGAGCTGGCTCCGTAACGCATTGTATAGTTTCTCTAGTGTGAGGTTGTTGTTTTCGATTTGTTGGTATTCGATTGTCTTGTAAGCGTTCGTGATCGTGACTAGTAAAGTATATCCTAAATTTTATAATTCACTTATTTTGCTCGTAGGTGTAGATATTTAAGATCAATTCAACGTGTACATTAAAACTTAATAAATTATAAAACTTAAGTGTAGTTTTATTTTAATTTAGTCGTGTAGAGACTTTCCATCTGCTCTGCCATATAGATGTAGTGTGGTTGTAATGGAATCCAGTACCTATATTATCATCCCATGGGTATCGTAAGAGACGACAGAGTTAGATTGAAACATGAGATCAATAGCAGCCTTTTTTATTAACTACTCAATAAATGTGCGCTTGCCAACCCATCTGCCAAACGTGGCAAATATTCCCCCTGTGACGCAATCTATGGGAGAGGGCTGCGTTTAGCTGTTGTCATTTGAATACTGAAGAGCACAGGAGCTCCGAGTATTAAAAGGAGGCGGCATCGCAAGGCATACCCCTCTAAAAGATAGGAGAGTCCGACTCATACCCGTTATATAAAAGTAGTTACTCCACGTCGTGCGCCATTCCGCAAGTGATCGTGCGTTTCGTTTCCGCAAGTGAATTCCGAATTGCAGTGTATTTTCATACAAAAAATAATAAAAACCGTCGAGTCTACAAAAGGACAACGTGACTTCATCTGTGATTATTTTGAACATATTTATTATCGTTAAAATTCGTATTATCTGAATATTTTCGTCTAAAATATCGAATGTTGCCCTTTGAAATGAAAAATAAGCTATTCTTAAATAAATTTAATTTATTATACAAAGTAAATATACTAACGAAAATATATTTCCCATTAACTAAATCAGTTTTTGATTTAATAATCATTATAATTGTCGGCACGAGTCGTGAGAACACTTTTTATTGATCGATATGACATTGACCACGCTGACGCTCAACGTGATTGGTTCGTCAGCCGATTCTCGTCGTCTATTGGGTTCGCACGTATCATTCGACTACCGTACACTTGAGAGCAATTTTAGTGACAACTTTATAATTAGTTTATTTTTGTTAATTGTATTGTTACTTCGTTGTTAATTGTTGTTAGTGTATTTCTTGTTTTCAACTGTTTGATAATTTTTTTTGTTATAAATTGAGCATTCAGATTTTGGTCTAAATATGCAGAGAAGAAAGAATTCGGTGTTAAATAGACAATCCCGACAAATGATCTATTCAGTGTTTTGTTACATGAAATAATTAGGTATCGCGAAAAACATGATAGACGTTTATAAACACACTGCTGAGGCGACTAATGTCTACGTAGCTACTGTACGGCGTATAGTTAAAGGAGTTAACGACTCAGAATTTCGAAAAAAAGTCAGCGAAAATATTCAATTATGAATTGAAATAACAAAAGTACCTAATAATTTTGGCCGACAGTGTACCTACGCTGGCTCAACCCCCACCATAGTTCATCTTTGGTCACGTTTCGTGTCGGCAGCTATACATGAAGACGTGTAGTGGATCTTGTCAAATGATTTAAATATTCAGCTCAATCGCAACACGATTCTGAATACTACATAATTTAATGTAATCAATAACCAGTATATATCAAAATATTATACAAAATAAAAACCAAATAAGTTGAATCGATACTTGCTACTTCGTAACAAATGTATGCAATTTTTATAAAATAAACTGGTATCACTGCAACCGAAAGTACTGCAATGTAGTGATGTACTCCACAAATTTAGTTAACGATAAGTTAATTTAATACATACATAAACACT